CCGCCCCAGCCCGGGATTTGAAAATCATTTAGAATGGTTGAAGTGGTTGAACTATTTCAACCAGGTTGAAATGGTTGAAATGGTTGAGTTCAACCATTTCATCCATTTTAAATAGTTTCCGGACCTCTGGCCGGCGCGGACCAACCATTTCAACCATTTCAACCAGGTTGAGATGGCTGAAAGGGTTGAATGCAACCATTTCAACCTGGTTGAAATGGTTGATCCGCCCCAGCCCGGGATTTGAAAATTATCTAAAAAGGACGAAATGGCTGCAATGGTTGAAATGGCTGGTCCGCGCCAGCCCGGTGCTTCAGGCCTATAGAGAAAAAGCCAATTCCCAAATAGACCCATTGGTTTTACATACATACACTGTATAGTGAGTTCGAGTGTGTGCAAGCAAGTATGGCTGCATGCATTTTATGAACAGTCATGTTGAAAACCAACATGTGAGAAACATGACAAAACATGTCAACGCAAATGTGTTGGCTCAAGCCTGCAACGAGTGCAGAAAAACAAACCTAAGCGCATGGAAACGGAGGTCAGCCTCTGGTTGGACAGCATGTCTACACGTTGCAACGCAGAGCAGCACGCTTTTCTCCGTATGGCAGCGCGTGATGCAAGAGGAGGAGTTAACGGTCCTGAACGGCGACCCTGTGTCCGCAGACACGGAGCCGTTGCGTTGGGTTCTACACGGCGGTCCGGGCGCAGGCAAGTAGTCAGCCGGAGCTATTCGAATCCGTGCTGGGCTGGCGCCGCGGAATCGAGTTCGAAGTGGTGGCGCTGCAAGCCACCATGGCCGACGCGTTGGACGGGGATACGATTCACCACGCGCTGTCGCTGAGAGTGTTCCGAGACGGTGACGAGTCCAGCCTCAAAAAAACAGATGGATCTTGCGCATCGAGCACTTCGCTGGCGCTGGCTGTTGCTGGACGAGTTCAGCGTGGTCAGCGCCGAATTGCTTGCGCGGTTGGAGATGAAATGCCGCGACGTGGCGCGCGACGCTTGTACGCGCGAAGTGCTACAGTGGCAGTTACGTACAGCGACCGTTCGGTGGATTGAACGTCCTCTTGTCTGGCGATCTATGGCAATTGGACCCGCCAAGCGGAACCTTTCTAGGCACCCTGCCTACAGCTCTACTAGAATTACTAGAAGAAGGACACATTCGGCGCGGACCGACAACTGCGTATGGTCAGTTGCTGGTGTGGGGTGGTCGGAAGCACGGCGTGCAAGGACATGCGAGAAAACCTCAGACGCTTGGCTGCAGGAGGTGCAGGCGCAAGTGCGCGTGGGGAATCTTAGTGCGGACATGCGTGCCGTTCTTCACGGAGAACCCACAACTGTTCCGGGGAGCTGGCTGCGGGGCGACGTGGGATGCGGCAACCCGGCCTGTCGAGCGTTGACGGACACATGTTGTCCGCGCAAGATTCAAGAGAACGAGTGTGGAGTCTGCGCGAACGAGCGAGAGACCAGGCGCCGCGTCGCGCGCGGACCTGCCGACGACGCGTGCCGCTTGCATGCAGTTTGACAAGCAGCCGCCATCTTTGCCACCAACGACATCAAGCATCACGTGAACAAAATCCAGCGGGCGCGTGAGCGAAAGCTCCCGCTGGTCTTGTTCCCAGCAATGGATTGCATCAGCACGCCGGCCCTCCGCGAAAAGCCAGGCCTGAAAAAGCGCAAGAAACAATGGCTATTGCGGCAGCCTCTATGGTCTGCTTCCTTTGTGTGTCGGAATGCCCATGCGTTTGACGGAGCATCTGGATCGAAGCGGAGGCGAGAATTCAGAAGAGTCTCTTGAAAGGTCGCCTCGGCGCAGTGAAAGGCTGGCAATCGGAGAATGGGCTAGATGTAGCGCCAGTTGGGTCAATGCGAGTATTCAGGAAATGTCCAGACGTCGTATGGGAACGCTACGTGGCAGCTCGATGGCGTGCCAGCAGCTGCGGTGTATCCAATTGTTCCTCGCCGTGCTTCCTGGTACTTGGACCAAAAACGCAAGCGACCCATGCTTCGCATTTCTCGGGTGCAAAGTAAAGGCCGTTGGCCCCCGCTTTGCTTTGACAGCCCACAGTGCACAAGGCATGACGTTGGACGATGGCGTCATTCTCGATTGCGGTATATAGCCATGACGCGGGTGCGAGAACGCGGCAAACTCCTGATTACTCCAGCCTTCCCGCTTGAGGATTTTCCAAAAGGCCTTCGTGGAGCACGCGATTTGCTCCTGGAATGTTCGCGGCAATGCTCCAGACTGGGGCGCAAGTCGGGCGCGCTACAACGCAACGCGCAAATGCGTTGATTGTCTGCAAGAACTGCGGAAAATTTTCTTCACGAACCTTCAACGGCGTGCTTCCAACGAAACAATAGTATGCAAGGAATGCGTTGCGTGGCGCCGCGATCACAGCGAGCCATGGCGCTGCCGTCACTGTTTGCAGTGGCAAGCCCTCACGGCTTTTCCAGCAGCAGAACAACAAAGCGACTTTGACACGCGTTTGCAACTCCTGCGTCGCTGCGCGACGTTGCAGTCGTTGCGACATGCTCCGCGGACAGGACGAATTCTCCAAGAAGCAGTGGGGACGCAGTGCCGGCTTCTGCGTGCAGTGTACGCATAAGACCGAGCTGCCCAAACAGCTTGACCAAGGCTGGCCCAAGCCGCCATGTTTTGCTCGGGCACGAAGTTTTGTGAGAAGGTCGTGGACGAAAATGTGCGTCCGCGGCGTCAGGCGCGAGATTGCTGCACTCCTTGCGACGCGACAGCAGGCTGCACAGCGACAAGAGGTATGTCCAACTTGCGGCACAGTTGTCGTCACCATGCAGAACACCCGCGTCAACTGTCTTCATAAGCGACCGGATGGACAGCCTTGCGCTACAGAACGATGGCTGGATGTGACAGAGAATAGCATGTGCAGACACGCCTGTCCAGGATGTGGCGCCGTCGTGCACAGTCGTCGTGCGTCAGGACGAATCCGCATCAAACACCAGCGACCGGACGGCGTGCCCTGCGATTGTGAGTCCTGGCAGGCCCCACAAGAAAGAAACAAGCAATGAAGGCTGTGGCCTAGAGAAGCGCTAAACAGAGGCCCGAAATGGAAAGGTTTCTGTGCGAAGGTTGCGGACGAAAATGTGCATCGGCGCCGTCAAGCGCGAGATTGCTGCGCTCCTTGTGACGCGACAGCAGGCTGCACAGCGACAAGCGGTGTGTCCAAAGGGGGCTGCGGGGGGTGGCCTCTGTGAATTGGGTGGGTCTTGAGGAGTTCGGGGGGCGGGGCCCTGGGAGAGGGTTCTGGAATGGAGCGCCCGGCAAGGGAAAAAAAAACTTGCTCTGCGAATTGGGTGAGTTTTGAGGGGGCTCTGCGAATTGGGTAGGTCTCGAGGCTTTTTGGGCGGTGCCTCTGAGGAAGCTCTTAGAGAGAGCCAGGCAAGCCGGCAGGGAGGCTTCTGGTTGGGAGGGGAAAAGGTCAGGGAGGCTTCTGGTTACCTTGAGGAGGTTTGGACAGAGCCATGCAAACCGGCAGCGCGAGGAGGAAAAGCTCAATGAAAGCCACAAGATCAGCAAAGGGCAAAGGAGGCTTTTCTGAGGGCATAGGGAGATCGGGAAGAGGCCTAGGGGCAACGGGGGTGGAAAAGGGTTCTGAAAGGCTTTTTGAGGCTTGGAGGCGGAGACGCTAGATCGCGAAGAGGCAACCTCTCAAAAACACGCCGCCCGGCCATGCCGGACAGTTCTGAATCGGCAAAACAACACATTCTCTACGAATTGGGTTCGGGGTGGTGGGCCCTGGGAGAGCGGCGCAAATTGCGAATGGGTGGGTCTTGAAGGGTGCGAATTGGGTGGGTTTTGAGTGGGGTGGCGGGTGCTGGGAGAGGGTTCGGGGGGTGAGGAGGGCCAAGGAAAAGGCCAAACCACCGGGAAATCTCTGCGAAGTAGGTGGGTCTTGGGGTTCACGGGCGTGGCGGACAGGGGGACGCTCAGAAAGGGCGGCAGATCGGCAAAGCAAGGCAGGCTTTTGAGGGCCTAAAGAAAAGTTCTAGAAAGCTCTGGAAAGGTTTGAAGGGGGGACGCTAGGGGGGTCGGAGGAGGGGTTCTCCAAAACACGGAGCAGAGGTCGAGGCAGGCTTCCAGGCGGCCTTGGGGTTTGGAGGGGTTCTTTTCCAGTTGGTTCTGCATCATCGGGGTGCGTATTATATTATCCTTATACGTCCCTATCTGTATAGCCCTACGATACTCTACAACGCCTGCACTCTAAACCCAAAACCATAAAGTCTATAATCCCGACACACTCCGTGGAAACCGTTTCTTGGCATCTGCAATCTGGCTCTGTTTCAGACCTTGCTCTCACTTTGTCCTTGTGCATTTCAGGCTTAGGTGGATCCCATATCATCGGATAATGTGAGGAGCCTAGTATAATCATTCATCTCCATGATCCCTTCTGTTCCCTATTACTGGTGGGGCGGGGTTAGTTAAGTCTAGGGGTTTAATCGTTTCACCTCTGAGAA